AGTCAATAAAAATACAGAATTTATCCTGAAGATATGAATTAATCAGAACACAGCAGGAATAAATACATGAATAGACATAGGTCACAGGTCACTGAAATGACCTGAGACATCTTCCTCTGCCACATTCACTAAGGGGAGGATTTAACTGAAAACTGCTTTATGTAAAAATACACACACATTCAACCACACATGCATACAGAGAGCTAGGTTTGTGGTTTACCTTTGCTAAACAAACTCTTTCTTACATAATGCTAATTAAATGTCATGAAGACAGTAAGACTATTACTAGCATTTCAAAACTATTCAGAGTTGCTTTAAATATTTTTACCACTCAGAAAAGCAAATCTCCTAAGTGTCTCTTGCCTAGGGCTCCTTGCATTGCCCACCCCCTAACCTTTTAGGAAGGGTGTGTAAAAGTCGCTTGATTCACAAGCTTAAGTTGTAGTAGTACTGCCATGGAGAAATATGGAATATTTTAAGGTTTAACATTTGCCTTTCAGCCTACTGGGTAAAACACAGAGTCTAGAAGCAGCTATTAACAAGGAACAGGCTAAAATTCTTATAGCAGAGTAGGTTATTTATTCTGCTATTTTATCATTGAGAAAATTAAAGAATGGTACTGGGCCACTGCATCATACACTTTAAAATAATTAACTGTATGTTATGTGAATTTCACCTCTATAAAAAAAGAGAGAAAGGTAGTGGGGTGAACTAATGGCTTTATAAATTATATGAGAGGAAAAAGGATTTTGGAATGTTGCTTTGTAACAGCACAATAGTGGGTCTCAGCACCCAACAGGAGCTGGAATAACAAAATTGTCATAAGCACAGTACGTTCCAGGGTCAGCCTGGAGCTTCCAGGAACCTTTAGAATAAAGGTAAAGCGGGCTAAGACAGGGAAGTCAATAGCTGCCTTAGGAAGTGTGGTCAAGAGGAACCTGGAGCAAATGAACTGGTTATCAAGGTCAACAACTTCAAGCTGTTTTATGGAACATCTGTGTATTTCAGTCCAATTCTCAAGTGGCTTAGATTGTTTAGGCTTGCTTTCAGTTCTAGGTACCTAAATTCAATTTCTCTGTAACTCAAACCCAGAGAAGACTCTCTAAAAGACCAAGAAACAGAGTAGAATCTCCTTAATGGATCTTGAATTAACAAGAGTGATTCTTTGGAAATAGCCCCTAAGAAGTGGAAAGCTAGTATGACCAGCAATGTTAGGTGGCTTGATTACAACTCGTAGAATCAAATCATAGTGTGGTAAGGAGGTCCAAGAAGCAGTGGCTTCTCAATCCATCAGCAAGGTTTCACAAACAGTATTCTTAAGCAATATTTGTACTTGGAAGCAGTATCCTTTTTAAATGTCACAGTTGGTATTTCAGCTGACATATATGGAGTGAGTTTAAAACTATTTTAGTATTAGAAAACTCGGGTTGCTTCCAAACTAGGAATATTTACTATTAACTGACTAGGAGAAAAAAACAACACACGACAACACACAGTTGGCCCCAGACAACTGGGGCTTCTACATCTGTGGAGTCAACTAACCTCAAATATATTTTTTAAAAAATTGTGTAGTTTCTTAAGCATGCAGGTTTTATTATTACTATTTACATAGCACTTAGATTACAATAGGTATTAGAAGTAATCTAGAGATTTAAAACATACAGCCTCTCATATATGTGCAGATAGGTCATATGCAAATACTACACTATCTTATATCAAGAACTTGAGAATACAAGAATTTTGCTATTTGTGGAACCAATCCCCTACAGATACCTAGGGATGACTGCATACAGTATCTTCACCCTGCTCTACTACTTCCTCAGTAATTCTTTCTGAAAGGTCACCTCCTAAGTATACAAAATACAAGAAACAAATTAGCCCAATAATTTGTAGATTTTATTTATTCATATAGTACATTCTCTTTGGGGGAAATTATCAAGATATTTTTAAAACCTGTTATAATAAAATTCTTAATTTCTCTCTACTCTTCACCAGTACATTACTTTTAATTCTTATTTGATAAATGAATAAAGCAGAATGACCTAACCCAACTATGTAAGAAGAGATACTTTCCCATCATAGGTGGAAGCCCATGTTCAAAAAAGCTTTCCAGTTTGCCTGTAAGCTTGGCAGAAGCTACATTACCTATAATATGGGCTCCTCAACTACCAAACTCATTATATCCCATACCTAATCCCTCTGTCTAAATCTTTCGCAGCATAAATAACATTTCTACTAATCCCTCACACTTACTGGGACTTGCTTACTCACACCTGTCTCATCTCTTCCCTAGCTTTTTCTGGTCCTCCCCAGCACTCTGCTTCCAAGTCCTCCTACCTGCTTCGAGGAAGGAAGATTTCCTTTGATCATTTTCAACTCACAGAAAACCTGACCCAGGATTCTCCAGGTGCCCAACTGCGGATGCATGCTTTCTACAATTCTCTCTCATATAGTTTGGCTTCCCATACTCATGAAAAGACTGAAGGACAGAATACAAGGGGGTTACAAAAGCCAGGCTTTTTTCCAACCTCTAGCCCTCTCCTTTCTGTGGTTCTCCATCATCATTTAGCATTGAGTGGTTATCACAGTGACCAGTCTCCTAGTTGTCATGCCCTTAACAACACTAATGATGTTCTTTGTCGTCATCAAAGTCTAAAATCATTCAACTCCCTTCTGCGTCACTCACGCCATTTGTTCACAGAAAACTGCCTTAATGGACTCTTCTTGGCACAAGATTATGCATTTCAATGTGGTCTTCTTGAATATCTTTATGACTTTTTCTTTTTCCCCTTCTAACCAAACTCTTCATATTTGCTTTTTCCACTCCTGATGCTTTGTGCTAAACCAGAGGAACATACAAAATCGTATATATTTGAACTTTAAATATCTTTAACCTGACTCTTATCTTTACACAGCAACTATTTCTAATGCATTTCTGGGCTTATTCTCAAAGAACACTTTTTTTTTAATCTCCTTCTTTAACAGGCTCCCAATTCCACTTACCCCCATTTTCAAACAATAATGCATTTTAATAATGATTGATATGACACCTTTCATCAATTCTCATCTCTTTCCCGAGGTTCTTCTTGATCTTACAAATCACAAAGGAAAATATAGCCCACCTCTCTTAAGCTAACCCATATACTCGTCTCAGGAGCTTATCTCTTCCCACCACCTGAAGACATCTGTTATTCTACTGAATAAGCCTATCTTCTCTTCAGCACTGTCAATCTCTTCCTTTCAATTGGCTCTGTATGATCTGCCTTTAAATATTTAGGTTCTTCTTTTCCCTTATATTAAAGCAATGCCTTCTAAAATCTACCACCCATCTAGTTAGAATCTTGTTTTTCTTTTCAACTTTGTTGTCAAATGCCTTAAGACTACGTAGTCAGTGATTGCTGCATATATATTCTTTTCCTCATGAATCCTAAAAAAATGGGCCTCCATTCTGTACCTTTCTAAGAAAGTTACATTTTTAAAGATCACCAGAGATCTAACCAAATCTGACGGCCTTTTCTCAGCTCTTATGCTTTCCAATTTTTAATTCATAGTTCTTCTCCATTCCAACCTCTACTGTTCTAGCCTAGGCCAACTTACTTGCACTGGCCAGCAATGGCATGTTATTGGAATTACTTTCTAACTCGTCCTAATTGCAATCAAATCTGTTACCCAACTGCTTTTTTTTTTTTTGGGACAGAGTCTTGCTCTGTCACCAGGCTGGAGTGCAGTGGCACGATCTCAGCTCACTGCAATCTCCATCTCCAGGTTCAAGCAATTCTCCTGCTGCCTCAGCCTCCCGAGTAGCTGGGACTACAGGTGCACACCACCACGTCCAGCTAATTTTTGTATTTTTAGTAGAGACAGGGCTTCACCATGTTGGCCAGGCTGGTCTCAATCTCTTGACCTCGTGATCAGTCCGCCTCGGCCTCCCAAAGTGCTGGGATTACAGGCTTGAGCCACCGTGCCCGGCCCAACTGCTCTTCTTAAAATGCTACAATCAAGCTACAATTTTGCCAAGAACCTACAGTTCTCTACCACTGACCATATTTGCATCAGGACTAAACTCTTCTTCTAGTTTTCAAGGCTTTAAGCACACTTATCCAAGCTTATCTGTACCCAAATACCTCAGCTGATTTTCTTACTGCCCTACCCCAACTGCTCTAGGCCACTGTAAGGCTTCAAAGCAACTGCCATTTGTTCCTTTCTGTCTTTCTGAGGCAATGCCTCTGTGAGGGCACCTCCCTATGGACCTGCGTCTGACCAGACCAGAGCTCTGGCAGTCTTCACAGTACTTGGACCACCATACAAACAGGAGTCATATCACTGGAAATGTGTACAGATAAAATGCATTAAAGTTGTTCTCTTTAAAGGAATACCTACATAGAAGGGTTTACTTAATTCCTAGGATACTAAGAGTAGGAGACATGAGCTAACACACATGTAGGATAATGAATGTATGTCTTTCCTATTAAGATTTTTTTCACCCCCCTCCAAATTATCATAAATTTTAAAATATAAGCACTCAATTCCCTTTGTTGCCACTATCAGAGCAGTTACTGAGAGATGATAAATAATGAAATGACTCTGAACTGCTTTGGTGATTCCTGTGATTAAAATATCAAGAGCTAACCTGATAGAAATAATGTGAAATATAATTGTCACTAGAATTATCTTTGATGATAGGGTCTGTATTTTATTCAACCTTAGGTCCCGCAAGATCTAGTTCAAGTCACTATACAGCATAGGTCCTCAAATATTTAATTAATGCTTTGTCGAAATAAGGGGAGAATATACAAAAGTAATGTGAAAAACCAAAACTCAGTAACAGAATGAAAAGAAAAGCATTATTAGTCAGAAAAATATTTTCTAATGGAATCTTAGAGAAATAAAGAGGCACTTAACATTCATCACACAACTAAAATCATTCAGTACAGGACTCTATTCCCTACAGTGGCACTAAAAACATTTCAAGGCAGCTGTTCTTTTTTTTCCCCCCACAAGAGAAGGGTATTACCAAATCCTTGGCAAATCTAATAACTATGGATCTTCTCCCCAGAGAAAAAATGGACACATGTACATGCACATAAACCCACAATTTTGTATGTACTCTCAAAAATCTGGGCTCCAGGTTTAAAATTCCTATCTTAAGGGAAAAGCTAGTCACTTTATAAAGGTTAATGATGTAAAAGTATATTAAGTTTTCCTTGCACATGATGCATTATGAAGGAATTTAACAACAACCAAAAAAACCTGAAGCTTTTAAAGAATCTCTCATTCTTCTCCTATTTTGCTTTCAATTTGCTTGCTATGTGAAGTAGTGGCTGCTTTTATGTGATGTATAATTTCTTCTGTGCTTTAGTGTAAAATTAATTATGACTATGATTTTAAGACTTCAGCTTTTTAAAATATATATTTAAAATACTAGGTAAGCAAGGCTTACAAAGAAGGTCTAGGAATTACAAAGTGGGTCAAAGATCATGTTTAGCCATTCTACGCAAAAATTCAGAAGTTAAAGTCTAATTGCCCAAAAAGTGGGGATGGGAAGAAGCAGGCAGGGAAATTGTTTTGGGATTTTATTTAGGACTCTGGCAAATCTGGGCAAACTACCTGACGATTTTTCCAAACTGGCTATGAATGAGAAAGGAAAGAAACCTCATTTAACAGGTATGTCTCTCAACACCAAGGAGCAAATGGAGCTAACCACTTGCTATGGCTTTGTAAGAAGATCCAACGAAAGTCTAATGCTGAAGGCTGGAGAAAGCTTTGAGCTAGTAAGCATCATTACAAGGAGCCAGCTTTTGTTGTAATAACAAGGCCCAGGAGCCTCAGCCCCATAGGAGACATAAGTGAAGTCTTGGCCTCTTACAGCAAAAATGAAAACCATAATTAAATTAAGCTATAGTAAAAGGCTGATGCTTAATAAGTCTAAAGTATTTTATTGGTATTTTCCAAATTGGCAATGTTCTTGTAATGTCTTAAAATCACTTCTAGATAAAAATTAGAGATTGATATTTATGCAGAATTTTACAAAAATAACTTAAATGGCTAGACAATTACCTGCTTCTACAGCCTCAGTTAACCAAATCTAAGGATATCTAAGAATAGATTTTTGTTTTCCTCACTGTACCTTGGGATAAAGTCATTTAATTTGTCACATTATATAGAAAGTAATCTAATTTTATATAGAGGTAACCTTGAAAACTCCAACTTCAACATGACTTTAAGTATCATCTCCTAATGACATATTCTATTATTATTATTTTCAATCTCTAAGCTTCTTATTTTGTATTCACATTATCCACTTCCATACTTCAACAAATTAAAGCATACCTTTTATCACAATGGTTAAAATCTCAAGAGGAGGTGTGACTTTCCCTTTCTTCCCAGATGCTTCATTTAGGCAGAGTATGGTCATGTTTTCTGAATCAGCTTTTGTTCACTGCCCAGAACTAAGTACGGTTTCTTTTCTTTTATTATCAGTTTAAAACTATTTCAAGAAATGTGTTTTCAGAAATATCACTTCACATTATGTCCTAATAAAGTACTCCACTATTCTCTTGATTAAAATTACCTGTTACAATTTAGGTGGCCTAATTTTAGAGGACACCCAATCTCTTCTCTTCTGCCTTAGTCTCATTCTGGTCAGGTACTTATAATATTATCTTATTATCACATTTTAATTATTAAGCAATGAAATTTCCAAGACAATATCCCACAGAATTATTGTTTGTTCAGTAACAATGTTACACTACTATAGTTGCTTCTCACATACAAAGTTTACTCCATATTCAAGTTTCAGGTAAGTCGACTATAAACTGAAGTTCTGTTTTTGAGGCATTTCCTGGTATACTAGGCAGTGCATTAGAAAAGAGATTATATTGCATTTAGGCTATAATAATTATCTTTCAACCATCTATGCATAATTAACAACCATTCAAAAAGAAAGTGCAAAAGTGCAATAGAGAGAACAAAACAGTTTCTACACACATAATGCATAATATAGGACATAAATCTAGACAACTAAAACAATCGCCGACAATATCCTCCTGAGCATTAAACGACACCACCAATTTTGTTTTATATGTATCCTTTCGTCTCAAGCATTCAAAGAATACAATAGACATTATCTTGTTAATTTTCAAAATTTTCAGATTAGGATATTACCATTTTTTTCACAAACCAGAAAACAAGGAACTACCATTACCTTTGTATAATTTTTCAATAACAGAGCCAAAATAAGAACAATTCTAGCTAATCTCACCTGGGAGCTTAGTACTACAAGTTTATTTTTATGAGTTAGAAATAGTATCACTCATGAGAAACAATGCCAAAATTATTACACTAATAAATTATGTTAAAGGCCTAATGAAGAAATACTTCAGCAACTAGGAGGTAACACGCTAGTTGTAGGCATGAGGAATATTTATATTGTCTCTTTTGGGTGTATACATTAAATGCAAAATCAGAAAGGAATCATGCAAAAATCCAGTTGCCCATGCAAGCTCCCCAGAGTCTAATCCTCTCCTCTCAGTTCTGATGTCAGGCCACAGTAGTGTGGAGACTTGTAGGCTGCTGTCCTTGTTGTAATGAATGGGAAGAGGCTGACAGTGGCATGGTCGAAACCTTCACCTCTTCTTCCCCTGTGGAAAAGTCAGTCATGGTCTAGTTATGGGTGACTAGATTTGTTAACAGTCCCTTTAAAAATGATTTCAATATTTGGAATACTGTTACATATATAAAATACATGCTTAATGTTTGGAATCCAGGTGTGAAACAAGACATGAATTTTAAAATATAAATGTATCAAGTACCTGGAAAGTAGTTATATTCTAAATATATCCTTAGTAATATTGTGTCAGCGATAAGAATGTAATAGATTTAGATTATAAATATACTACCCCCCCTAAAAAAAGATCAGGAAAGCCATTCTTTTCCAAGCCAATTGGACCTCTTATAGGTACTCCTAGTAAATGGTAAATATTAATAGTATTTTGTGAAAAAAATTAAACCTTGATTTACAGAAGTGAAAACTGATTAAGAGGAAAATTATAAATCCATATTTTTGCATAAATTATGTGCTAGAAAAAAATGAAACAGATAAAAATGTTAACAGTAAATTAACATACAGCATCTGAAAATTTAAGTTTATCTTTGAAGTAATTGAAAAATAGTAAAATGTTAATAAAATGATCCAATTGACTGAAAATGAGATGACTACTTCTGGGTCAGAGAAGTATAGATGAATGAGATCAGTTCTCCTGATTATAATTGATAATTATTTGACTACAAGTGACTTGTTTCACACATGACTCAATTCAATCAAGTCACTGTTAAAACAGTTCATACAGAAACAAAGAAAATTTAAAGAAAAATGCCCTCTCATAAGTAAAGTTTGAATTAACAAAAACATTAAAAAAAAAAAAATCCAATCCTAAACAGTTTCAAATATTTTTGAGGTATATCTTGAAACAACAATGCTTACTGACTTATGTTTTCCAAATAATTTTTAACATCATGGAATAAAAACAACTTGGCAGGTTTTTTTTGAAAAACAAATCTGCAAAATTACATTTGAAATGGTAACTGACAAAGCAGAAAAAGAGTCTGTCAATCCACAGAACAGGTGATTTTGTAGTTTTTCAGTAAATTGGCAAAGATTTTTATAAACCCCAAGTACATAGCAATGAGGCTGTGTAAGGCAAATTTTAGACTTGAGTTCTTGGTGAGAAAATGATATTAATGAGGAATAAAAAAGAGACTGATTGCTATCAAGTCGATAAACTTTATTCTATTTTGTAACAATAGGCCATATACCCCTCAGCTGGGCCAATTTGACTCATGAATGGATTGTTGATAAAAAAGGGACCTGCAAGTGTGTGAGAGCAAAAACCAACTGCCACGGGAAGAAAGCCAAGTTAAAGCACATGCCAGTGATCTTCATTTCTGAAGGAGGGCATCATCGTTGTACTGCAAAAATATTTCCATTACTGAATTTGAGATCTAAGTTCTTATCCTAATTCCACTACTAATTGAATGTGTGACCTTCAACAAATTATTTAAGCTTTCTGGAACACAGCTTTGCTATTCCTAAAATGAAGAAATTAGACAAAATAAAGTCACTTTTTAGGACAAGGTAAATCACTTTTTAGAGAGAAGGCACATTGTTCCAATAATAATAAACAAAAAAAATCTGAATGAATTTACAACTGCCCATGAATCAAAATTTCCCCCAAGAATATTTCTGTCAAAAATCTTTCTAAACTTAGTAAACCAAAAGCTGCTAAAAAGATTTAACCTCACTAAGGAAATAACTACTAATTTTAAACAAAAAAAAAGGGTTTCAGACCAAAAAAATAAAAAGGAAGCTGCATTTCTGTCAAACCTCTGGCAACTGTTCTTCCCATGATAGGTTTCAGATATATCAATCTTTAATAATTAACTGAACAAACCAAAAATAAAATTTTAAGTTACAAATATATAGTAAGTAGACATTTTATTTGTATGACATGTAGGTGACCAGGTCCCACTGAAAGAAGTATGCACTCTCTCCATTACTGAAGCACTTAGTGACAGCTGCCCTGTATAAGGTATCATGATAACTGCTAGATGATACAAAGTTGAATCCTTGTCACTAGTTTAACTCACGTGCAAGTGAGTTACAACTGGGGTAGGGGTTGAAGATATTACCTAGGTATTAAATTGCTTCACATTAGACATAGTTAAGATATAAATAGTTTTCCAAATTTCCACTTTCTGTCATTTCTAATAGTTACTGAAAACCTTCTGGCTACAATTAAACAGCTATTCTGCTCTGAGGCTCAGCACATTCAGTTTCCTGAGGTATCTAACAAATATTTATAATCCATGAGAGGATTTGAGTGTGTGAGACTCTTGATAAAAATTTTGGCACATTGAAACTAAAATTTCTCTAGTCAACAGAGCCTTAAAAATAACCTAATAATAAGCTTAACCGTAAGTCACCATTCAAATACCAAGCAAGTCTGCAGAGCCTGAAATTGAAAATCCAAAACTCTCCCCACCCCCTACCAAATAGAACAATGATTCAGAACCTAAAGTTGGTGACTACATTTTTAGCATCTCAGAAAAAAACAAAACAAAAAAAAAGTTTTAATACTCTATGGTTGAGTATACGGTAAAAATTTTAGAAATCAAAACAAAAACCACAAAGATAGGACCATGATTTAATGCCACATTTTTCCATAAAGCATCTACTTTAGATGAAGCTTTTAAATGAGTAACACAAGGACAACTAAACTCACCAATGAGCGATTTCTCATTACCAGTGTGGCATTCCCAGAATAACTATTGGTGTGAAATATATGGGTTAAAACTGCTCTTCAGTGCTGAGGGATAATATGATGACTATGAAATTAGAAGAAAATCAAAGGTTGTCTGTAATAAGTCAAATAAAAGCACAGAAAGAAGATAGCTAATAACTAGAATCCCACAAAGGCATCCTACTTCCTATCGTACCAAGTCCATGCCATTTTGCCTCATTGTCAAAGTTTCTCATCTTCTCATTCATTATATCTATACAATTTAAGAAGCACCTCCTGTTATAGGAGGTAGCTGTATTGCTTCTCAGTGTAATGGCATATTAATTCCTGCCTCTGTGCCTTTATTCAGGAGGTTTCCATCAACATAAAGGGCCTTTTCTCTTCCCCTGCTGCAACCCAAATCTAAGATATGATAGTAGGGATCAAATCCTACTTCTTCAATGAAGCCTCCCCAAGAATTACAGGCTACATTGACATCTCTCAGATTCCAGTACCATACATATAGTTACCACTTTCATACATAATTTTAGTGTCTTCAACTATACGGCAAAGTATGTGGAAATCGTATCCATATCTTAAACTTCTTTAATATTTCCCACATGGCCTAGTTCATCGATGGGCAAACAAAACCCACATATTCACTGTAATTGGCCTAATTTTTAAATGTTTTGATGATTTGGGGGAAGTGAACTTTAACTTTTAATGAATGCTATAATCAATTATGAGATAACACTACTAGTAATTAAAATGATACATTTCTAAATGATTAAAGCAAAGTAAAATGAAAGAAAATTACATTCTAATATGCTCTCTTGAATGGAAGGAAATAAAAGGAGTATTTGGAACTGAATACATTGTTTCACAAGTAAGTATCACGTAGAAGAAGAGGACTGAAAAATGTCACTCTGTGTTGTCTACTAACTACCTTAGTTAAATAAACAAATATGAGTCCCATTATTGTGCAAGTCACTGCATTAGGTGCTACCAGGCTTATATAAATTAACTTCACTGTATCAACGGTCAATTTCACTATGTCAACAGCCACAAACTATACTCTCTTAACCTAGCTACTTGTCTAGAACATGAAATGTTGTTCGTCCTAAAGGGAATGGAGATAAAGAACTTTGAGAGATCTATGTAAATTCATCTATCAGCCTTGCTAAAAATAAGAGTGAACGCCTTGCTGCTGATAAAAGCATCCTATTAAGATAATACTGTGCCATGCCATACCTTAAAGATTATGACAATGGATAACAATAAATTGTATGAATTATGTGAAGAATTATTCTAACAGAGTGAGAAACTATTATATTCTACTTGAGAGAATCATGATTATATTTCACTTGAGAGAATCAGGAGAGGAACAAACTTTTTTTAAACATCATCTCTAAGTCAAAGTTAAAAGAGAATACTATTAACAAGATACTTCAACTAAAAAATGTTATATAGAATCTTAAAACCCAAAAGTTCTGAAACCTTCAAGGGTAGCAGTACAAAACCAGAAGTATTTTGGCATCAAACTTATATTACCTTACATATACTTCATATTTTTCCCCAGAAATAAAAACATGGCAGATCATATGGATCTGGCTTGAACAATTTCTCTTTCACAAAAGGTGCATGTCTGTGACATGATATGCTTGTAAAACATTAATCATCAGAGTTTTCAAGTACTTTATTTATAGCTCAGTTTTGATGTGTGTATATGTGTCTAACAGTCAAAATAAGTAACTGCCAAAAGTAGGTAGAGAGTGGCTTTATCCCTCTTGCTCTCATTAATTTTCATTAAAAAAAATTTTTTTTTAACCATTTTACTTTAGAATCTAAAATCATAATTTTCACCTTGGTGTTAGGCCTTTATAGCACCATAATTTCAGAGACCATTTTCTTCTCTTTCTTTTTGCATTTATAAACCATATGAAAGTCTGGTAATTCTCCTATTAAGTAAAATGCTTCCAAACAGTAAGTATAATACTCCACCATCCTTATAAAGCTCAATATTACAAGGCATCCATCTAATGAAAATCATATTTTAGATTATGATAAAGACTAATATTTCATAGAAATTTCCAAGACATTAGTACTCTGTTATTCAAGTTTCTTCCCCAACCACCCAACAACCTGAAAATATGAGTTATTCAAAACTTCTCAAAGGCTTTAAATGAACCTACCTGCTACAGGGATCCCTCCCAGACCTGTGTTGTGCTGTGGCGGGAGATTCAAGTCCAAGAAATTACTATTTGAGGTGGGGTTTGCTGTGTGGTTCAAGTGCATGATGCTATTGCGTGGAAAGGCCATCCAAGGATAGCGGGCTGCCTGGCCTGGAAAACTGAATGAATTATAAACCGCTCGGTGCTGTTGAAATTGAGGAAACCTCTGGGGCAAGACTGAAAAGGTACTATTGAGAGAATTGGCATTTGTAGGTGCAGCAGGATGCAGGAATCCAGAACCTGAACCTTTGGCGGTTGTAGTGTGTGAAGAGGAGTTCTGAAGAGATGTGGGCGAAAGGGAAGGTTGGTCTTGAACGGACAGTTCCTTCTCAATCAGGTCTGCTAAGGCTTTTCGAGTGACATCGAAGGGATCAAAACCCAAGTCATCCTCTGGTTGTTTAGAAGAACCAAAGCCAAAAGCTGCTTGCCAGTCTGTAGAGGATGATACCGGGATTGTTTCTGTTGGGAAGAAAAATAGTGATGAATATCAAACATATAGCTCACTTTCATACTTAATAAGTATCTACTGCTGCTGGAAAAAAAAAAAGTATCCACACTACTGAAAGTTAAACATGTCATATTACAAATTAAGTATGTGTAAAATCTATGTGACTTCTTAGCACATTAAAATCATATAATTACAAAAGGCCTTATGTACTTCTAGCAGTTACTTAATTCTTAAGCTACTAGCTTCAAAAACTGAATAATATAAACTGATTTTGCTAACCAAAGGAAAAAATTTACTTGACACTCAAATTATACTCTCAACCATTCATAATCAAATCCAACCTAAGTCATTTCCGCAAAACAAATATCATTTAACAGACTTTAATTAGTAAAGTTTATTTTATAAATGTATTTATCAAAGTACAAATAATTTTAAATACATGCTTTCTATACTAAGAAAATACCTAATTTAATTTAAAAGTATTTATATTAATCCTTATAGTCTTTTGGAATTTTCTTCTTCATAGGTGCTGTTGTCAATGTTATTTTTATGCCACCTTTCATATTAATGAGAGAATTTAGAATGGATAAAAATGGAAATGGCTCAAAAATGCCAAAACATAAATGTTACTACTAAATAACTTACATCTTTGACAGCTGGGGATGGAAAATCTTAAATGTAACTATAAAAATACAAATCTAATTAAAAATATAAGTCCTTGCCAGGTACAGTGGTTCATGCCTATAATCCCAGGACTTTGGAAGCTAGGTAGGAAGATCGCTTGAGGCCAGAAGTTCAAGACCAGCCCGGAAAACATAACAAGACCATCTCTAGAAAAAATTTAAAAATTAACCAGGAGGATGAGGTGGGAGGATCACTTAAGCCCAAAGTGTGAGGCTGCAGTGAGCTGAGATCATGCTACTGTACTCCAACCTGGTTGAGAGAGCAAGATCTCCATCTCCAAAAAATAAAAATAAAAATCCCCAAAGAATAAGTTTTTACTATTGGGAAAATAATATAACCCTTCACTTCTGGAGAAATCTTTTAAAACAGTAATTTCTGGGTCATACGACAATGTATCTAACCACCTAATTCCATGTAGTTTAAATGTTTACATTTTTATTAAAAGAGAAAAGAGAGGCAAAAGATAAAAATATATCCACTAATGAGTTTCATGTTAATCTGTACACAATATGTTAAGAGCATAATTACTAATACTTGGTACTACTGTTATATACCTGATGTGAAGAGGCTTTGTGGTTCTGGTGCTGTAGGCCAGTCACTGGATGTCTGTGGGGAGCTGGGGAAAGGAGGAAGCCCACTTGGGATAGGGTTGGGATGGCGAAAATTGTCTGAGAACAACGACTGTGACTCTGTTACTGCCCCTTCAAAAGGGGACCGCGCACTGTGATTGGATGAACTGATGGGGATGACTGGATTGGATTTTGACAAACCAGGTGGTGGTGAAGGCGTATCACTGTTAGATATCTGAATAAAAAAGGAAAACAAACAATAACTACATGTTTATACATTTTAATAAGGCACAATTAAAAGGTCTGCAAGTAACTGCATTAGAATAGTGCTTTGGAAACTATAGTACTTGAAGACTTTTTAACGAAAGCATGGAGTTTCAGAGAATCAATTAAATCATTAACTTACATATATACTCTGTAAAAAAAAAAAAAACTAATCTCCCTGAAAAGACTAAACGAGTCTCCTTTCTTTTTATAACTTTCTCTCACTTTACAAAGAAAAGAATATTTCTCATTCTGGGATTTTATTATAGTATTTTGCTCAAGAGTGAAAACTTCCAGAGGCCAAACACAAATTATTAGAAGTACATGGACCGGCGATAAGAGAGTAACTGACTGTAATGACTATAACTTTTGCATGCTAATTCTCAATATTATAGTTTTCAAGAAAATTAGAGGAAGATCTAATTAAGTTGTTTCCAAACACATCATTAAAATGTTTTACATAATAAATCTTTGTATGATTCTTAGGTATTTAATTCAGAGGAAATTGAAAGACTTGAGTGATACTGATATAATACTCCTTTTTCCATTTACCTATTTATATGAACAAAATGTCTCAACACTTATATCTTAGAAAAATAAAAAAAGTGACTAGATTGCTGCTGAAACTTTGCACTTTTACGAAAAAGTAACATTCATCCAGTGATACATAAAAGCTAATTTAAAAATGGCCCTATTCTTCATTAAAAGATGAATTTCCAATATAATTTTACTATATATAATTGTATAAACATAAATATAACAATTATGTTTCATGGTTTTTAAAATCAAAATCTACATTTATGTATGTTGTCACCTCAGTATTACTAATAAAATTCAGAAGACAAAAATTGGCATTTGAAGTCTATGACCACAAAAACATTTTTATTTCAATTCAAAAATTTATATGGAAAAAACAGTATATGAAAAGCATATACTTCTTTCAAAGATATATATTTATTTTTGAATATATATTTATTTTTGAAAGAAGTATATGCTTTTCAAGCAAAAACTATATTGCATTAAGATAAAACTCCATAATAACAGAAAGAGAAAAATTAGTTCACAGAAAAAAATAATGTAAAACTTCTGATTGTTAAAGGAGAGCATATGTATTTTTTTAAATGGATGACAGGATAATAAAATATGATTATGATCAAAACATGAGATATCAAAACATTAAATTTCTCAGATACTAATATTTCTAATATGCTGGAAATTACATCCTTTGCAACTACTTGTAACCTGTAAAAAATTTTAATGTGCAACTAAAATATACAAGGGGATATACAGATTTCCACATTCTTTTACAAAATGTGTCAGTAAAATGCTTGGAAAAGCATTATATTTTAGATCTCTAGGTTTTTCACAAATACTGTCGAGGACTGGCTACTCTTTATGGAAGGGACTAAACTACATTTATTTTACCAATGTGAGAAGACGTATAGAAACTCAAGGAGTGAAAAACTAGTTAAAAAAAAAAAAAAAGTTCCCTGAGCAACAAGACAAGATGACACAAAGCATGCTCTAATGGTCAGCACTCCATTCAGTTTCATAGTGGACTCAACTTTGAACAGCTTATCTGGCTCATCATTTCAAAGTTGATAGTCATTTGAGGGAAATAAGAGGGGAAACTGTTAGGGACAAATACACTGACTGAAACAGAAAATTAAAATAAACAGCAAGGGGAGTATGTGGTAGGAATACAATTCTAAAAAGCAAGAACTCAGAAGGCATGCTAGCCTGGGACCATTTGGCACAGGGTCAAAAAGACCAATAACATTATCAGACTCTAAAGATAATACCATCTGGTCATAATGATAATTCTGAGTCATTAAAAAAGGGTTAAACTGTGCTCTGTATATTCTGGAGAAAAAGGCTAATTATAATATGATTAATAAAGATGTCCATCAAAAGTGTCCTTAGATTGTGTCAGTAAAGTATTTTTAGAAAATTCACCTGCATGGAATACCTTGCTTTTGGAGTATGGCAAATAAAATCAACTGATACTGCATCCAAATCTTACCTGCTGGGAATTATCACCGTTCCCTATACTGAGAGAATCTGAAGGTTTGTCAATGGGGCTGTAAAAAGAAAACAAATCAAATAAAATCAGACTAAAGTCATTTTCTGACAATAAAAACAAACTCCTCAAAAGCCCCAAAAAAAAAAAAAACCTGAAAAAAACCAGACACTTTACTATCTTAACAAACGTTTATTGAAGTACTGAGAAGTAAAACATTACATTAAATGTGAGGACACAAAGAAGTACAGGTTGAGCATCCCAAATCCAAAAATCCAAAATCTGAACTGCTTCAAAATTTGAAACTTATTGCACACTGACGTGACACTCAAAGAAAATTGGTCACTAGAGCATTTCAGATTTCAGATTGTCAGATTTGGGGTGCTCACCCACTAAGTATAATGCAAGTATCCCAAGATCCAAAAGAAAAAAAAAAAATCTAAAACTCCAAACGCTTCTGGTCCCAGGCATTTTGAATTAGGGATATTCAAACTGTATAAAAATCTCTATCCTCAGGAACTTACATTCTAGTTAGATGCTCCAAAAACAATGGGTAAAATAATAGCTTATAAGGGGAAAAAAGGTATTGCTTACAATTAACAAATCAAAGGTCTAATCTATCATTTATTTTTGTGCATATAATAAATACATTCCCTTTTTCAGTTTTTGAAGTACTGACATTTTTCTAGGTGCTTGACAGAGGGCATAAAAGTTCTTGAATATTCTCTGTAGATTTTTAAGAGCAATATATTTAATATTTCTATATACTAATCATAACCCTAGAGAAGGCATGTGAAATGAGACAAATGAAACACATTTGTGCAAACTATTGATTCAAACAAAAACATTATCATTTTATTTTCATATAGAGAAAATGCAGTATCATGGTAAAGTAAGAGAATCACTGACATCAAATCCATTTTATCTTATCTTACTTAAAGACAAAATAAAATCTCTATAATCACTGCAAAAGTGTACTGACATCATTCCTATAACTAACTTTATTTAACTTAGCACATGAACAAAAATAGTCATGTGTTACTTAATGATGGGATACATTTTGAGACATGCTGGTAGGTGATTTTGTCATTGTGGAAACATTAAAGTGTGTACTTATATAAACCTAGATGGCATGGTCTACTACACACTGAGGCTATATAGTGCCTAGTGCTCCTAGGCTGCAAACCTGTATAGCATGTTTTGAATACTGCAGGCAAATGTAACCTAAGGGTAAGCATTTGTGTATCTAAATATATCTAAAAATAGAAAAGGTACAGTAAAAAGGTTATTTATAACTATATTGGACCACTGTTGTATATGCTAGGTTATTTATAATTATATTGGACCACTGTTGTATATGTGGTCCATCCATTATTGACCAAAATAACACATTGTTATGCAGTACATGCCTGTACCATTACTCAAATGTGTTGTTCTGATACGTGTAAGGAAAAAAATTAAGATTTTAAATTTCTTAAAATTATTTTATTTCCTGAAAATATATACAAAGTCCCCTTTCAAAAAGGTGACTTACTGGTACCATATTTAATTGTTCTAAAAAAAAAAAAAAATCTAACAAGGGCTAGTACGCAATCTGAATCCCAGGTGCATCTTCTGCAGACATTGCCATTTGTTCTTGATTATAAGCAAACAGATTTGAAATTTACTTAAAGAGCATTTTTACTTACTATTCATAAAATAGCAACAAATCAATGAATATTAAGTAATGTGGGTAATGCAAACAGTTTAAAGACATAGCCCTGAATTCACTAAGTTGGGGAAAGGAAATAAGTGCACAAAGAAGACAAGTGCAGACAAACATCATCCAGTGCTTTTATCAAATGAACTGTTTAAATTAAAAAAATGCCATAAACCTTTAGAAGAGAGCAAAGCTACCACAAGTGGGACAATTAGGGAAAGTATCCTAGGGGAGTTCAAATTTAAGTAGGTCCTTAAAAAGATTTACCCAACAGGAGAAGAAAGAGAGGAAGAGGAAAGAACAGCATTAAAGGTAGGAATACCTTCTGTGTCAAGGGTCAAAAAGTTGGAGACAGTGTTGGGAGAGCTTAGTAATTAGTTTAGCTAATATACGGGATAGCTGAAATAATAATGGAAGGTAAGGACAGAAAGGTAAACACAGGTTACACTCCAGAGGCCACAGAAATGACCTAAATAAGCAGTGTTTTAGAAAGATTAATTTGGTGGTGGAACATAATAGTGATAATCCAAGATAAACTTGCAGTAATACTATGGTAACAAGGGCTTCAAGTTGAGAGAAAGAGGTAGTAACATAAATAAAAGGCTAAAAGAAAGATATCACAATCGACAATTTCTAGTGTCTGGATCTTGATTCACCTTCCTAGCCTCCATCCAATTTAGCGTTTCCATAAGAGCACTAAATAATAATTTTCAATATAAATAACGTCTTGCTACTGGCTGGGGCAACAAATGAAAATATTACATAAAAAATAAATCTTAAGGATGTTTCTGGATTACAACTAATTAGAATAACTTTTATCACCTTGTCCACCATTCTAACTGCAATTTCCCTACGTACTGATTCATAATACTTTATGCTTTACCTGGGAAAGTTTTATCTAAGATGTTTAAAAATTTGTAGATTGTGTTATCTAGCCAATAATAGCTGCTGAAAAATCAGGATTATGGCAAGAGACCAGCAAATTTATGTTCTACTCAGTTTTACTACATTCTTCTCAATTTATTTTAACAATAACTAACAAAGGAAAAATAAATGAAAAGCTTTAAGAGTAAAGATATAACTAGAAATTATTTTATTTTCTATGTGGGCTATAACAAGTCATTATAGTTATACCTGATATTATATTAATAAGTGGAGCTATCAGTGGAAAAGAAGAAAAGAAAGATAGAAGAATACCTGAAAATACATAGGTAACCCCAATAGAAAGAAAAAGTACATTTACAAATTCCAATTAATGTGAACTCCTTGTTTCTCTAATGGCTAGAGAGAAAAGAGTTATCTCGAGACTACTACCAACAGGTCACAGTCCTCACAACTCCACTGGCATCAGATGCAGAGCTTCCCTCCCCATTAAGCACGGTGTTTGCTTAAGCTGTGGTCATATTAATAAATTTGTTTTACTTTCAGCATCCACCCACCCATTATCGTGCCAAGAGGGTAAACTGCTAAGAAAATGAAAACTTTAATAAATACCATATTTACTCATGAAGAGACACCTATTCCATGAAACAGGCTATTCCCTGGTCAAAAATTGCCAGGTTCAAATGTTATCAGATATTAGAATTTGGGTGCACTAAGATAAATTGCACAGGGCTTTTTATTTAAAAGCAAAAATAAACCTACAGCTTTTCTTAAATCAACCTCTTTCTACCAAACTAAACAAAATTACTTGCATTTTGAAGCTGAAATTCTGTTATTCATACCATTTTCAATGGGAGAGATTCTTTTAAAAACCCGTTTGTACAGCATAAAGCAGTGGGGCAGAAGCTGCCTAGTAAGGGAAAAAGCTAGAAAGGTGTTTGAAAACTGAAGATATCAATTCTGTCCTCAAGGACATAATCAAAGAAAAGCAGATAATATAAACTGAACTAAAACAAAGACTGATAGAGACAAAAACAGAGGTTGACAATCATCTCTGAAAAGGCTAGGAGTTAAGAAGACTGACTACACCTATACTTTACTCATACACTGAAACTGTCATGATGCTAAGAGAAGGAGAAATCAAGATATTAAAGTCCATAAATACCATGCAGTTCATTGAAAAGTACTAGATTCAAGTGGGACTAAGAAGTACTAATATCAAATCCGGCCTCATAACACACTCATAACACAATCAAGGTATTCCAAGAAGGCAATATTGTATGTATAAATCCCTGTAGATAAAAGTTCAAAAACATAAATTTTCATACAAGTGATCTCACTATTTTTTTTTTTAAGTTTCAGTCCCAAATTGTTTTAAAAAACCATGGTGAAACTACATCTTTTTTTTTGAGACAGTCTCGCTCTGCTGCCCAGGCTGGAGTTCAGTGGCATGATCTCAGCTCACTGCAACCTCCACATCCCGGATGCAAATGATTCTTGTGCTTCAGCCTCCCAAGTAGCTGGGATTACAGGTGTGTGCCACCATGCCCAGCTAATTTTTGTATTTTTAGTAGAGGCAGGGTTTCGCCATGTTGGCCTGGCTGGTCTCAACCTCCTGGCCTCAAGTGATCCACCAGCTTTGGCCTCCCCAGGTGCTGGGATTCAGGTGTGAGCCACAGCACCTGGATGAGATTACAGATTTCTTAGGAGCAAATATTTGTAAATTAACCCAAAAGTGTGACAGAGCTTTTTAAAATACATACACACACAAAATATATACATATTTATTTATTTAAAGTAAAAAGTATATATCCAGACTCCAACACTGGGAATTCTGATTCAATTAGCCTAAATTGAGGTGTCTGGCATTTGATGATCACTGCAACAGAGAAGAGGAACACAATGAAAAGGCATCAAGACTCCTCAAAGTCTCTCAAATTATTAGATTTCACAAGTAGAAGGAATCATTAAAATCAAATGTAAATACTTTGTTTTACAGATTAAAAAAATCAAATTAAAGACTGTCAGCAAACAGGTAGTCACTGACACAGCTGAGTCTCAGTTTGGATCTGTGGATGTTCGGCCAAGTTTTGCTTTGTTCTAACTTGCCCCTAAGGTAATGCTTGAATTTTACTTTCTTTTACTACTTCTGTAATGGTGATGCCAACCAAATTACTAAACATAGTCTCATGATTGCTTTTAAAAATTTGCAACATAAACCAATTATACAGTAGAAGAATCAAAGAAAAAACATTTTCAAGGATGGGCGTGGACTAAGAAAAATGTTAGCAGAATTGGTTCTTCTGCTTACCAAATGCAGAAGAAAAATAGTCCAAGTGATTTATTAATTTTTACTTACATTTTAAACATAAGATAAAATTTACTTACATTTTAAACATAAAATTTACATAAGGATAAAAGTCAATATAACAGACATTTCCAAATTTCACTGTCAGGTTACTATCTATATAAATAAATAA